TACGCTGCATTGAAAAACAAGGAACTCATGCAATATTATTCAAAATGGGTGACTCTGGAGGACCTTATGCTGAGTGTAGCATCTCGGTTACAAAAGAACAAATACTGCATAGTACCACTGTTGTAAAACAGAACTGACATAGGGGTTGGGGTGGGTGGAGACTGAGAAAGATGGGATAAATTATGTATAGTGCATTGAAAACAAATGAGAGAGAACTGTTTAAAAGGTATATATGATTAGGTATTATTGTTATGACATGAGTCCATAATGAAGGGTGCACAGTGGAGTGGACAGGGATTGTATAACAATGAAAGAATTTTTCTTTTACTTTTCAGAGAAGAATGAACTGGAGGGGAGGGGTGGGCAGGGAGAAAAGTGCAACAATGAATGAATGGAAATCCAAAATCTCTAAATTTTCATTAAAATTAATAATTATAATAAAAAGTGATAAACAGTGTATGAGTGTGTATGATGTGAGTGAGTCAGAAAGGAAGAAATGCACAAAGATATAAATATGCAAACACAGGGGCACTTACAAGGAAGGAGAACGAGAGAAATACACATACTCACAAACACAGGAGGAGATATGCACACAAATAGAAAATGAGAGAAATACACAGATACACACACAGAATGAGAGACAGACAGAATTGGGTGTGAATAAATAAATTGGTAAAGACAGATAACTGAATAAGGGAAATGAGTTTGGGATCAGCACCAAGCTGGCGCTGGTCAAACATCCCAATCACCACGTTTCTCCCAAAGGGATAGAATTTCTATAAAATTTGAAGAAGACTATGAAGACAGAACTGCCAAGCTCCACAGAAGAGCATTAGGATGGTTGTGTGGATAGCAAACTGGAAGCTGTAGAATGAAGTAGCTGGCAGTCATCCATCCTCTGACGTACCCCTTCAGCTTATAATACACTTTCCACCACCTTCTTCCCTCTAACACACTCATGCTGTTGTTGTTGTGTACCATAGAGTCGGAACAGATTCATAGCTGACCCTCCAGTGGGTTTTCAGAGGCGTTAATCACACGGGAGGAGAGCCTTCTCCCAAAATTTTCTGTACTAAATTGCATACAAGTTAATACTAATTAATTCTGACAAATTAATCAGTCCTGATTGGAACGTTTATTTCTTTGACTAGCAATTTGCCACTGTTAATAAAATGCAGCTTGTTTGTGGCAATAAGATTTACTGTTAGGACAAATAGACCCAAATAACCTTAAGTATGGATTTACCTAAAGATGCTGAGGAACTTGGATTGCTCTGTCCATCAGGGGAATCCTTGCTCATAACATCCTCTAATCTCTTCATCCCAAAAGGCCGACGTATTTTCACATAACTGTGTGTCTGATCCTGTTCAGATGAGGAGGGGATGTCATTATTTAACAACATTGCTATCACATGCAGTCATGAAAAGCACTTTTTGTAGCTGTTTTTCCCAAGGAAATTGTCAAATTTTTCCACAAATTATCAATAAACTATTCCAGAGTGAGTGCTATCTGGAAAGGTGATGATGCTTCATCTCACATACTATTCCTTACAGAAGGACATCATGCTTAGAAAGTGAAGGGACAGCAAAGGAGAGGAAGGCTCTCAACCTGGTGGATTGACACAGTGAGTACAGAAATGGGCTCTGTGTGTGTCAGAGATTGGGAGGATGGCACAGGATGGGACAGGGTTCAGGTCTGTTGTTCACAGGGTCACTATTAGTCGTATTTGATTTAATGGCACCTAACAACACCACCATTCATAATTTATTATCCAACAATAAATTCATAATTATTTAATGTGTAAATTACTCAATACATTTATTGTTAATAAATATAAGTAATGTAGCACTTTTTTAAACATTACTATAGAGCTTTCTTGTTTCTGAAATGTTCCTACTTTTAGAATAGGCAATGACTGTATTGTTTATATTTGCAACTCTGCTCTAGGCCGACCTCTTACCAGTTGTCAGTGGGTCGACTCTGACTCATGGTGACCCCTTCTGCACTCATAAAGTAGAAGTGTGCTCCATGAGAATTTCAATGGCTGGCTTTTTGGGAGCAGATCACCAGGCCTTTCTCCTGAGGTGTCTCTGGTAGACTCAAACCTCTGAGCAGCAGCTGAGTCCATCAGCCCTTTGCATCAACCAACTCCTCAATACCTCTACATCTGGTAATAGCATTTACAGCATTACTGCAACAAACTAAATTTTAATTGGTTTTAGTACAGTGGTAACAATCATGACTCTGTTTATATGATAATTTTGGAGTTCTTAAGCCATGTCAGAGAAAGGTCTCCCTTCATTACAAGATGGTTACAGCCCATCCTTTTGATACATAACGGAAAATAACTACTCCCTAATGTACAACCATGAGCTCATCTCAATTCCTGAAGAATCCAGGCTGGCAAATCCTCACACATGAATTTTAAAAATTGAACATGTGCATAATCTACATTATACGCCTTGTTCAGCATGTGAAAATAATGCAGAATCTCATAATTTTTGCTTGCATGAATACTAAAATTTTTATTTCGTAGAATTTTCACTGTACAATTAAGTTGGAAAAATAAAGTCAGGAAGAGGAAGAGAAAGGAATTAAAAGTCCCTGAAAACCTTTTCAGTATTTTAATGTATAAATAATGTATTCAGTTGGGTTTAGCTTATATTGATTGTTGTGCTCAGAAGGAATAAAATCAGATTTGACAATTCCACGACTATGATGTGGAACATTGTAGCATATATAATTCAGTTTTAAAAAGTATGTAGTGACTTTAAGCCATCTTATTCAACAAGCCTAGCTAAGGAATTGTAACCCATTCCCTCCAACTTTACCTTTTCTTTCCACTTGAAGATGCAGGTGCTGCAGGGGTGCCTGGGTTTAGGTCTTTGCTCAAGGTCTGCTAATACTGACAACAGTTTATAGGAATTTGCTTGCAAAAGGTGGAGCTTCAAATTGGTCTGTGGATACATTCAACTGGTCATGTGAGTAAATTCCTAGAAAATTAGCCACAACTGGGTGGGCATAAGGATATCCTGAATATTTTTAAAGTGTTAAAAAAAAAAAGGAAGTCTAGAAATGGACACTTTCAACTTAAGTATAGCCAGGCAAAGAAAATACACACCTCTAACTGTGCGCCCATCTCCCTGAACTCTGGAATAACCACAGAGTGATCAGCTGGACCTAGTTGCATCTGTCTACTCTTAACCCCAAACTGTTGAAATCACTAGTTTGGGCAGAATTATTAGGCACTCAAATCACAAGATTAGATGCCTAAGCCATGAGAAAATGAGATACACAAAGGAAGGAACTGGCACTTTCATGTCTTCTTCAAAGCTTTACCAGAAAAACTATCTCTACCTGAATTCCTCTCAGGTTTTTCTAATCACTCTACTCCTTGCAAATCTAAAGGTATCCTTCCCCAAATAAAACCAAATCCATTGCCTTGGATTCTATGCCAACTCCCAGCACCCTCCACAGAGTTTCTGAGGTAAGAAATCTTTATTTTCTTTATGAGAAGAATCTGCCTCATTTCCTTCCTTCAGAGGGACTGTTAGGCTGTTGTTTGCTGACCAGTCAGAACCAGCCCATAGCTGACCCTCCACCAGGTTTCCAGAGGCAATAAATTACACAGGAGATGAGATTGTCCATTTTTTTCCCCATGAAGCAGCCAGTGGATTTGAACTGTATACCTTTGCCATGGCAGCACAATCCCTTATCTCTAAACCACCAGAGCTCCCAGTAGAGGGGCTAGCAGATTAAAACCATTGGCATTTTGGTTAGCAGGCCAGCACATTATTCACTGCACGTCCAGGGCTCTCTATAGTTGCCCCTGGTCCCTGTAAATGGCAGGGCTAGATCCCAAGACAAGTCTTTCTGAATGCAGATCCCTTCCTTTCAGTCACTTGTCTTAACTAGGTTAACGTACACATGGTTTCTAGGCCTTCAAGAAATATGTCTATTTTGAGACACTCTATTTTAGGTGCAGTTCTTAGGACATGAAAGCAAACATCTCTAGGTAGTTGGATTTTTTCCAGATCCTTCAACTTGTTGAGGCTGTGACCCTTTAAAGTTGACTAGATGGTTCTATGTCATGAGAAAGGAAAGGCAAATAAACAGAGGTGAAATGGGCCAGAAAGCAAGTTTTCTAAAAATAGTCCTTTTGCCACGAAATCTAGGAAACTGCACACAGCAAATATTTACCTCATCCATTAACACTGCTGTTTCTTTCTGGCTCTTTCCATCGGAGGAGGAGTTGCTGGAATACGCAGTAAGCATCTGTTCCAGGCCTGAAACAGAATCAAGTTCTCAACTGCAGTTCGTCCTGTCCTGGGGTGACCCAGCCTGGGGTCTGTCACACTCAGGGAGCAAGAACCACAGATGATACGATGGGACTCCCCAGTGAATGCATGCAGTTATTATTAAATTTTAACGAATGGAGAACGCTTTAGTTCTCTTTACTTTCATTTAACAAACACCAAGACATGTGAGTGCTTAAACAGTTCTAATCATTATTTGCCAAGATCAAGTTTTGATTTCTTTTTTGCTAACCCAGGCTCTGGTCATCCCTCATATTACTAGAATGGTGGGCTCTTCCTCACTGTGGTATTTACATGTCTGGACATTTTGCTACCTCAGATTTCCTAACAAAAGTGACAAGTGTTTTTGTTATGAGGTCCCCTTGAGTTGACACTGGCTCCCGCCTGGTCCTGTGTTCTCCTCACAATCTCTGCGGTGCTTAATGTTTCAGTCACCGTGTCAATCTGTCTTGTTGAGGGTCTTCCTCTCTGTCACTGACACTCCACCTTTCCAGGCATGAGGACCTTCTCCAGGGACGGGTCCCTCCTGATAACAGGCCCAAAGTATGTAAGACTAAGGTTTGCTATCCGTGCTTTTAAGGGCACTTGGCTGCACTTCTTGCAAGCAAATTTGTTTTTTTTGGCAGACCGTGGGTTGTTCAAGATCACTCACCAGTCCCACAATTCAAAGTCACCAAATCTTCTTTGGATTTCTTTACTTATATGGTCTTACTTTCTAATATGCATAAAAGCTAAAATTACTATGGCTTGGGTCAGAAGCATCTTAGACTTTAAAGTAATATCCTAAACCCTTTAACACTTTAAAGAGGTCCCTGATAACAGATTTGCCCAATATAATATACGGTTTTATTTCTTGACTGCTGCTATATATTATTTTGGGTCACATCAAACAAGTTATTATACACATGCTCCAAGGGTTATGTCACCTTATTATCTGCATCACTTTAGACTTAACCTTCTAACCTGCCTCATTTCTAAGTATAGGATTAAATAGAATTAATTTTTTCACATAACTTAGAAAGTTAGTTTCAAAAAAAGGAAGAGACACATAAAAGTCTTAGCCATAAGAGGTTTATCATGTTTTGTGGCGAATGGATTGCTTTTCATTCCAGCCAATTTCCAAAAGGCAGTAAATGCTACGTTTCTGAAAATGGTGGTATAATTCTCAGAGAGTTCTTGTGAATACCCTAAAATGTAATTTTCAATTTTTCCCCCCTCATCTTTCTTTTCCCTTATTCATGCATGCTAAGTTTGCCTCACAGTTCCTTACACTAAATAGCCCCTGACCCATTCAGGGAGAGGTGAGCAATCCTAACACTGATGTGACCTAATATACCTCCCTGCAGCGAGCCATCCAAATGTGATAATTACACACCTTCTTTGTCTCTGGAAGCTTTTTCAATGTCTCTTTTCAGTCTCAGTAGTTTTGATTTTATTGAAGACTTCCGCCTCTCTTTATCCATGGCATTGTTAGGATCTTCCTCCTTTAGGGGAGGAAAAATGATATCAAACAACTTAAGGAGAAAAGAGTAAACCATGTTACTCCCAATTAACTTTCATCAATTGTGCTTAATTTTTATGTAACGGAAGAAAAACTATGAAAATCTTCTTTGGTTTTACCCAGATGGTTTCATTGCCCCTAACCTGATTATTACACATCGCCTTTTGACACCTTGTAAATGCATGGAACAAAGGGCTCTTGGCTGAGAAACCTTAGACAGTTGTATCATGGTTGCTTGGTAAGTAAGTCTACTTGTTAGATGATTATTCCTTCCTATCCAGAGAGCTGGACAATGACTAAGGATAAAAGAAGAATCAATGTCTTTGAGTTGTGGTGCTGGAGAAGAGTCGAACATATCATGGATCTCCAAGAAATGTATAACAATGGAAAAAATTTTTTTTTCCTCTTTTCAAAGAGAAAGATGAACTGCGGGGGCGGGGGAGAGGGATAGGCAGAGAGGAAATTATGCAACAATGAATGAATAGGGGAAAATTAAATGGAAAGAACATGTGGTAAAAATATGTATGTTTCATTAAAAATCATTACTAAAAAAAGAAACGGAAAATAAATAAGTCTGTCTTGGAGAGGGAGAAACCAAGTTTCTCCTTGGAGGCTAGGATTTTGAAGCTCCGTCTCACATACTTAGGGCGCAAGGCCAGGAGGGACTTGTCCTTGGAGAAGAACATCATGCTTAGAAGGGTAGAGGGACAGCGCAGGAGAGGAAGACCTCAGATGAGATGAATTGATACAGTAACTGGGATAATGGGGGTAGGTGTGTCAGAGTCAGTGGGACTGGCTCAAGACAGGACAGGGTTCAGAGCTGTTGTACATAAGATCACTATGAGTTGCAAGTGATTCAATGGCACATAACAATAACAACATTTCTCTGTGGAGTCCCTGGGTGCTGCACTTAGCTGCAAACTGCAAAGTTAAGGCTTTGAGTTCCCCAAGAAGTTCATTGTCTGGTGATCTACTTCCAAACAGTCAGCCAATGACAACTCTGTGGAGCACAATTCTACTCAACCAACGAAATCATCATGAGTTGGAATCAACCAATAGCAACCAATTTTGCCTTGTATTTATTTACATTCAAGTCAAAGTCCCTCCATGACCTCAGTGCTGCATGTATGTTCTGCCAGAACTGCCTTAGGCATACAATTAATGTTTACTGAGTTCTCTGTTGGCTGGCAACTGGGAACACATGAGTTAAAACACATGTGCTGTCTATAAAATAGATGTGGAGTCTTGTTTAGTCTTAAAACACAATGTTAAAGAGAACTTGCAATTCAAGGCTACTCTCACTCAAGGCAGCATGAATGGTACACACAGGAAGTGTGACCCATTGAGCTGGAAAGCTTCAAGCAGACTAAAAGATCCAGCCAGCACTTAAAAATAAATATCAAGCAAGAGGACAAAGTGCACCACAGGTATATAAACTGCAAGCAAAGAATAGAGAGAAGACCCTGAGACGTGTATCAAGGACTTCATATGAACCAGACGCTTAGCAAACGTAGTGAAAGAAAAACTTGTCTGAGGTACCTTGAGCCTGATTTGAAGGCTGGCATGGGAATTATATCACATACATTGCGAGAAGCTACTTACATTTTCTGAGCTTTAATGTGCATGACTTGAAAAGCGAAGTGAAGAAAAGAAAAAATTAGGATTCTCGGATTGGGGTGGGCATGTAGCTGAGGCTCAGATGTCTGGAGCAGAGGGGTAACAGCCTGTATGTTTGCTTCTAACAAACAGCATATGGCAGGAGTGGTGGGCTGCCACTGCTGTAATGAAGTTATAAAGACCATGACTGCACTCTTGGATACCCTTCGTTCTCTCTGGTGCACTGCTTCTGGAGGAAGCCCATGTTGTGTGATATCCACATGGCAAGAAATAGATGTCATTGGCCAAGCAGGCACAGGAATTGGCCAGCAGCCCTGTGGGTGAGCTAGAAAGTGGATCCTTCCCCAGTAAAGCCTCTCACTGTAGTCCTGTCAACCCCTTGATACCTTGACTGCAGCTTGTCAGACTACAGTCTTGAACCAGAAGGACTGGCTAGGCCACACCTGCATTACTGAGCCACACAGACTTTGTGGTGATAAATGTGTGCTCTAAGCTATTAAGTTTAGGGATAATTTGCTACATTCCAATGACAACTATTATGGGTACAAATAATTTATAGATCATAAAACTTTTCTGCCTGGTGTTATCATTAAAGAAAATAGTGTGGAGATTCAGTCCAAAAGCCTACTTGAATTGCCCCTCTCTTCCAGGAAAGACCTAAGATATGCTTGCATCAGTCAGTTTATAAACCACTCACTGTTTCTTCACATTTGCGTGAACTGTGAAAAGATGATTGTCTTTATTTAAAGAAACATGATGGTCCCTTTACACTTACATCATTTCTCCCCCCAAATAACACTCTAACTGCATGATTAACTCCTTTTCATCCATACTTACAAAGTAATCAACTAGTAGGAGCTCGGATTTTTTTTCTGTAGGTGCAACTGTTGTTTCTTCCATTAGAGACTGGATATCTTTCTCGACGTCGATCTTGCTGATGGCACAGTGACTCTGAGTGTGGCACTGCAGGGTCGAGGGGGGGCAGGGGAAGCAGACTGAATACACATCTCCTGGCCATCCTTAACATGTATGTCAAAATGGGGGAATCTTCACTACTCACTGTGTTCAAGCTCTGACCAAAAATGGAAATGTGATGGTTGTACTGGTTCAGGTTATTGCACAGAAGTTGGATCCTTTCCTTCTCCAGTTCCAGGATGCTCTGAAAAGTACGGAACATATTGGTGAGATCAGCCAGCTGTAATGCAAAACTCCAGCAGATCATCCAACACTGTACGTTATAGTGAGTCATAGTCAATTCAACAGCAGCTAACAACAGCAAGGGTTTTTGTTTGTTTGTTTGTTTAAGGAGATTTTTTATATATGTACAAATTATATATATATA